TTTTAGAATTTTCACGTAATGCCTAACTGTAATAAGTTTATTTTTTATAATCAAAAAAATAATGTAGTCTGATAAAGTTAGTTTCAAAAAAAAGGTTATTTTTAAAATATCAGTAATTGTTAGCTCTAGAGACAAAAAACTTGCCAAGTTAATCATTAACGATAAAGAATTTGCCATTTTCATTCAATAAATGAGAAAATTAAAATTTGCATATAGTTTTTTTGAGTGACTTAAAAAATTATTACTTTCAAGAGGTCATAAACTTACATATTCATGATAAAATTGCATTGTATTTTTATAAACGAAATTTCAAGACTTTACTAAAATTGTAATGCAGTTATTAAAAAATGTAATTGTAAGAATGCTCTATAAAAGTATAGCAAAAAATAAATTAAAAAAATGAACTACGCAAAAAATTTCTCTAAGTAGTAATCGCTCTTCTTGAATATATAATTGATATCATATCTATGCAATTACTTCTCATTCTTGCTATTAATTAACAATTATAAATAATAATATTACGTGTTATTTTAGTCTAGCTTCTAAAAACAGTACAATCATTGCTTGAATTGTAATTTAATTAAGCATATTGATCGAAATGAAATTGTTAATGTCATATGGAAAATTAGCACAATTTTTTTTACATTGCAATCAAAAATATCAAAAGAATTGCATTTTTGTGTTGCTAAATGAAGTAAACTTTCAATCTTTTTCACTTTTTGTTCTCAAAATGCATAACTATGCAAAGTTGTTTATTGTTTTTTGCATGGCATTTATGCTCATTGCCGCCTTTTGAATGAAAATTTTTTGCAATTTTCATCATTTAAAGACCCTCCCATAACTTTTCATACCAAATATAAATATACTTTCATTATAAGCCTTTATCTCATTTCTGTCAGTCACCTTTCTTTCGTATTATTTATCACTTTTTGAATGCATGCCTTTTTTCTAAGAAAAGTTACTTTCAAATTTAGCTATTACTTAAGTAAGACTAGAAAGAAAGATTCATTCATATACATCAGTTAATGCTGATTACATCCAGCATAGCAGAAATCATGCTATCAGTGATTAAGTGTTAACAAAAAAGATTTAATGAATAAAAAAAGTAATCACGAATAGAGCGATAGATTTATTCTATCTCATTAGTAATTATTAAAAATGGAAAAAAAATTTTTCATATTTGTGTGTGTGTTTTTTTTTTGCTTATATATATTTAGATTTATTAATTTTGATGTACTTGACAATATATGACATTATTAATTTAGCTTCGAGATGATATTCATAGTAAGATAAGATGCATTGTTTTGTAAACTATTGTCTTCTACTAAAACTCAGAATATTTTTAGAATATGATGACAAAATGGGTAGTATTTTGAAAGAATTCAGTGCAATAATTCAAAGCAAATTGATAATTCAGAATTTCAATGAAATTATATGCTAAATTTTGATAGTCACTTAAAGTTATAATCAAAATTTTGCTCTTCTGTAAATGCTCAATCATAATAATCATAAATATTTGACGAAAAAAAAATATAAATATAACAATTGTCAAGTATTCATCAACACATATGTTAATTGACTTTATCAACCAAGTGTACTGAATTCTATAAATTCCATACGTCAGTAATAACGTATTTCTTCATATTAAATTATTTTATTTGAAGATGATTCTACGAAAATATTGAAAAAGTTTATTCATTTAATTTGACTTTAAAAAAATCTTTTGCATTTCTATATTTTCAATCATATGTCATTTCCAGATAATAATTGAAATTTCAATTTTCATGAGTACAATAAAAATTACAATTTGATTATTTAATTCAGCTCAAGTCATGCTTTCTTTCTTCATTATCATTTATAGTTATTACCATAATGAGTTTATTTTTATGCATTATTCTTTCTGTTAAATATAAGATAGTTGCTAAACATTTCAGTACATTTTTTGTATTAAATATGTTCAATATAATGCATTATGTGACAATATATTTTCTGATTTTAATTATTATAACAAATTCTGCGTCACGTTATCAAGCTCCTTTGGAAAAAAATCATGCAAGTTATTTTATCAAATTCAAAATATTTCTAAATTTTCTTATCATATAGCTTTGCATACTTTGATCAATTATTTATTAACCTTTTATTTTTGTTAGACTTTTTTTCGTTTAGAATATTAGTAATATTTTAGATTGTATTGTCGGAAACAGAAAATTATGTGAAGGAAAGTAATGTTGACCTTCATACAGGTTAATTTTAATAAATTTCTCAGGATATGAAACTTTATTTCAAAAAATTTTTTGCTTTCATTACTTTTGTACATCATTCTAATACTAAAATATTTTTGTATCATCATTTTAACTTCCAAAATTATATAACTTGAAATATTAGTAACACTCATCTAATTTTTCTAAAAAAGCTTATTTTATGCAATATTTTCTAGAGCACTTAACTGAAATACCTTATTTGCATTTCACTAAAACACCAAGAGAAATTGAAACAATAACGAATGAAGATTTGGTACTGAAATGTGAAGCTATTGGTATTCCACCACCAATCATTGAATGGTTTCTTGCTTGTTTTTACAAATAGAAGCAAAAAACCTTATTATGTTCAGAAAACATTTAGTAAAGTTGTCTTGTTTTTCTGCAGTAATCAAAAATTAGTAATTGAATTTGCTTAGAATGATAAAAATTCATAATACAAGTTTTTGCTTTAGAAGATTTAAATTTAATTAGTAAATAAAAAGTTTGTTGTAGAAGTTGCTAAATTTTATAGGGCATATAATGGCAAGTTAATGTATGCTGTTGATGAAAGTAATGATGTAGAAAAAGTGTACAATGCTGGCTTAAGAACTATCCAAAATGGTGTGACTGCTTCAAAGATAGTTATACCTTGCACAAGCACTAAAACAGTCACACAGTACAAGTGTTTAGCAAATAATCAGCACTACAAATTGGAAACAATAACAACTATTACAAATGGTAAATTTGAATATTTTTGTCGTAGTAAATTTTTTATATGTTTTATTTCATACTTAATTATTATTAAAAGAATATAAAGTGATTTTACTTCACAAAAATATTACTATCAATCAGAATTCTAGAAGGTAGCACAAATTGCTCACACAAACTTTCTTCACCTGTAATTAATATGTGGACCGATGGTCGTTTTGAGCGATCTGGTGCAACAGTCCAGTTGTTCTGTAGAATTCATGATAATTTGAAATCAAATATCACATGGTACAATGAAGCAAGCGTCAAACTTGAAAATGCTAAAAAATATAAAGTAATCTTACTTACGTTAAACAAAGAAATTTTTAAAGATAGGCAAGGAATACAAAATTTTCAATGCAGCTTTTGTTATAGATAATGAAAAATGGTGATTTAATCATTCATGATACAGTATGGGAAGACATGGGAGTTTATACTTGCGTTGCTAGCAATGAATTTGGTGAAGATCGAATTATGGCATTTTTCTATCCCACTCAACCTTAACTTCATAAAACTGAGCTAAGTTTATTTGCTTGAATAGAGTTTAGCTTTATTTCATCGATTGTTTATCAGTAAAAAGCAAACAAAGTGAATGAAAGTAGATAAATAGACACAAATATTTTCAAAGTGATAAAAGATTTTTGCAAAGAAAAAATTTCTCAGCGAATTGGTTTTCAAATCAGTTCGATTTATTTTAGTTCAGCTTTTTGTCCTCAGATAAAATCAGGTTGGTGCTTTCACGGATAATTTTTAATATAATTGATATTTCAGATGATAACGTGTTGAGAGCAGCTATTACAACGTCATATTGACGATATTTGCAGTTTTTGCCTGCTTTGTTTTCTTCTAAGTGTCATTCAACGATTTTGATGAGACAGTAGATCTTCACTCTAAATAACTGATCCTTTGTCAAGAAAATATACTTGCAATAGTTTTTGATAGTAAGATATAATTTATCAGTATATCAGTACAGTCATCATTTAATAGCACAAATGCATTAATGATATTTATATAAGTGATAATAATTGTAATTGTAATTGTAAGATATAATTTATCAGTATATCATTATAGTAATGATATATTGATGAACACTCAAGATTAACGATACTTTCATTATTTGCTTTTTCATGACTGGAATTGTATTACTTTTATTGCATATTTTTAATTACTTAGTGATCTCTTTATACTGTGTCTTCATATTATTCCCAATTATCAAAAGTTTTAGTTTTCCTCTGATTAAGTATGATCTCAGTTAATAATCATTGTTGTCGCTTTATTTCACTCTTGAATTAACAATCATTCATCGGTTATTTATATCATTTATTATTAAGACATGTCATTAATAATATAAATAGCTAATGAATAAGAATATTAAATCAGTTTTGAACTTCGAAAAAAATTTCAAATCTTTTCAAAAATATTTGCATTTTAACAAGATTTTATTTCAAAAATAAAAAATAAATTGAGCAAAAATACTTAAATACTAGATGACTGCATAGATAACACATGACCTCATCAATTTATTTCCAACATTGGCTTATTGTTACGTCATAAATTTAACATAATACGTGAATTTTTCATGCTTATTTCCATTTTTGTTATTTCTCTACTTTCTTACTGACATATTTATTATTTGTAATAACTTCATCATTAATATGCTTTACTTATTGAAGCACTTAAAATTTTATATATTGTTATGTGTTTGATATTCAATTTGAGTTCATTTTCTTCAAAATAACTTTCACTTTTTATTTGCACTAAATATTTGTGCATTAAAATTCTATCAAGCATTTTATTAATGCATATTTTCACTAGCAATTTTCTTATTGAAATTATCATTCCAATTTTATTGGCTTAACAAGACAGTATGCAAAAATATTTTATTCCGCACTAACCTTTTATTGCAATAAGTTATCATTTTTAAATCTTAGAAAATATTATTTCAGTCTATAAAATGCACGCTTATTTTTGAACTTTCTACAAAAATTTTTTCATTGCTATTATTTGTTTTAACTTGAATGTAGTGATAATATAAAAATATAAAACAAAATAGTTAATTTATATTTTATCATAATATTATTATTTAAATCTCCTTGGTCAAGATTTTTATATTTCTGTTCGGCAGAATCAATAATTTCGTAGTTGATATTTGATATCAGTTTCAAATGTATAACTGCTACCAGTAGTAGAGTCGTGAAAGTTTGTCAAATTATATTATATGAAAATTATTGTGGAGTATAAAATTCAAGAAATAATTTTATTGCTGAATAGTATGTGTACTTTTATTTTGCATTCGTAGTAAATGAAGAACAAAATTATTTTCGTTTGAAAAGATCCAAAAGAATACTTACACATAACTGTATGGATCTAATTCATAAAAAATAATATGAAGTAGCAATCGACAAATGAAAAAAAACGGTTAAAAATTTGAAATAATGACTAAGGACATTGAAAAATTAAACATATTATGTGATAAAAAGGAATAAAAGTAAACGAGTTGGTTTCAGCTTAATTCATGATTAACTATTAATTAAAAGAGCTAGTCTTAATAAATTTTGTTCTACTTTAGATTTATTCAGGTAACTTAAATCATAATATTGAATTCTTCTAGATGTAAAATTGATATTAGGCATTTAAGACAATACTTACATTGAAAAGTTCAAAGGGACATACTTGAACACTAGTATTAACAGTATTTGAAAATAATAATAATGATATTGCAAATAGTTCGAAAATTCGAGATAAAGAAAAAAATAAATTCAAAGATTGTTTTATTTGCTTGTAATGATTACATTACATAATTTAACAATATCAAACAATTGCATGCAGTATCGGTTTTGACCACAAATATGAATCGGTGATCTGATTAAGACGATTGTATCAAAACCTAAAAGTAAATGTTTCATGAAAGATGAAAATGCATTTATTTTTTGTTTGTAAATTTATTTTTGTTGTTAGACTATAGGAAACTTAGCCAACTTAATTACTTACTTATATGAAAAGCCCATATAAATGTGAATCAGATGTAAACCCCTGATCTCTACAATCTTAAGAACATTTTAGATGTTTCAATTATCTAAAGATAACAGAGCAAATAAAAAAGAGCGGAGCAGAAATAAAAATAATATAAAGAAATATTGAAAAAAAATATCTAAAATTCGGCCAAGAATTTTGTAATTATATTGGACTTAATTTCCACAAAATAAGTAAATAGCATTTAATCAAATAGTGCTGAGTTTAATGTAGGTGAAACTTTGTATTTTGTATTTTTTTTTCAAATTTGTACTATTTTTCATAATTTTGCACATCTTTATGTTTGCTTAATACTCATTTGCTTACTTATTAATACTAAATCGTACCTTAAGAAAGTGATAAAGGAGAGATAAAAAAAAGAGTACTGTTATTCAAAAATAATATAAAGCATATATATACTTGAATATGATCGAAAAATTATTATTTAAAGCTATTTCTTGTTGTCAAGTACGATTATTTTAAATACTAAAACAATGTAGTTTTTTATTCACTGCAAAATGAAAGCAAATACAGTGAGCCATCAAAATTAGTCAGTTCCCTGATAGCAGTAATACATACAATGTATACATTTTGAAATAATTTTTTCCTGCTACTTGCTATAATTGAAAAATTATTTAAAATCAGTAAAGTAATACAACAATTTAAGATGACTTTATTAATCATTATTATTTTTATACTTGACTATACTTATAATTATCATGATATGTTATAGAATTTGATCAAAAATTGTTATTTTTCTTATGTATTTTTGTTACTGTATTAATGGATCGTTAATATTTTATCTTTCACACCGTATAATTTGACGGTAAAATCCATGTAATAGGCAAATAAAAAATAAACAGCGCATTCAGTGAGTGCACATTAATATCAATGACTAAATACTAAGATAAAAAAATAAAATTAATATGTGCTTATAGACGATAAACCGGACTAATACAGAATAATTAGTTTAGTTTGCTTAAAACAGTAGAAGGCATCAATCATCTTCCATCTCATTATCGGTTTCGTTTGCTACACTTCCTTCTGCCTACAATTTTTATCCGTGTATTCATTACTTTTATACTTTTTTTTAATAATTATTAAGAAAAAAATTTTTTTGAGGTTATTAAAAGTACCAAGCAACACACATTAATAACAGTTTACACATTACAAAGTAGACTTTTTCTCTTCAGCTTTGATATAAAAGCAACCAATAACAGATATTAAATATATATACATTATCTATTAAGTTTAATCTCGAAAAATTGATCGTTTGATAAAAATTTTTAATAAACGAAGCGTTATGTGATTAAGAATGAATTAATCATTTTTTAAGTGACATTTTTTAATGCACCAAAATGAATAAGTAATAAAAAATATAATTAGTAAATATCAAAAGCGTACTTGCTCCATAGCCTCTTCATCATCCTCATCTTCTGCTTCCTAAAATTTACTGTTAATTGTGCTGGGTTAGAAAAGACATATGATAATCGATTAATAATGCTGAAAGGTCATACATACATTCTCCTTATCCTCTGAGAGAATCACCTTGGTGTAAATAGCTGCTGGTGGAGGAACATTCGGAAAACATGGATATGCATTTTTCTAGAAGTAAAATCACTCAGGACTAAATTCAAAACACAGCAATGAGCTTATTTTATCATTCTCGAGAATGAGAAAATTTGATCATATAAAAGCATTTTAAAAAACCAATGAATCAAAATGGTATAAAAAATTTATGGTAGTTGTAAAATTTCCATGCAAATATATCAAAATTAATAGCTAATAAAGCCTGACAAATCAAATCATAAAAAAACATGTAGTAATGTACATTTTCAAACATAGCTCTGCGTTCTTTAAAATTTCTTCGGTCAATCTGTCGATCGTATTTGCTTACTATCGATACTTTTGGCTAAAAAGTAAGTGAACAAAAGTTTGAAGAAACAATTCATTTCACTTTTCTGCAGACATTGGTATGCTTATAAATTACTGCTTCATTCCACAAACAAAAACAAAAAACAGAAAAAAAACACAAAACAAAACTGTAGCTGAGTTTCAGATTCAAATACGATAAGCTTCAGATTCTGTTAGTATAATTAAAATTGATTGTACAAACATGTAATAATCTACTTTCAGTTACGTGTAGCAAATCCTTTTGTTAGACATATAGTTTTCACTTTACAATAATTTAAAAGTTTATTAAAACTGTATTTTTTTGAATACATTAGAAAAAATTTCAGTAATATTAATTTTTTTTGTGCAGTTTTATTATTATGATTATCACAAAAACTTTAAAATCTTTAAAAATTTAAAATAGAGATAGGCTTTCCAAGTTGGCTGCTAAATGTTACATGATTTGATATTATATAATTATTAATATGCAAAGTATGACCGGATGTTTAGAATTCGTATCGGCTGGATCGATTCCTTTTTTAAGTGCTTTGTTCCTTGCTACTTGACGTTGACGCTCATTGAGTTCACGTAACTAGAACAAAGGTAATTTTATTAATTTTAATATTTACTGTTACCATGCAGAAAGTACAAAATTTGGATGAACAAATATTGAAGCTGAGAATGAATTTGTTAAAAATGATAAAAGTGAATGCTTAAAAACAAGGTGACAAAATTTTCATGAATTATTTGAAGACAAAAATAACGATCACTTTTTTGTTAAATATAGACGACGAATAAAATTATCAAAGATTAGTAGTGCTTATTGTTTCGTGCAAATATAATTACATCATATTCTTGACGCTCATGTCGTTTTTCCAAATCATATTTATCAGCTTCTAGTTTACAAATACGTTGATGTAAATGACGTATTTTGTCCCGTAATTCTGGTGCAGTAAGATTTTCAAATTCGATAGTACGTTTTATAGAAACCAAATAATTACGTCTAGCTTCCTCTTGTTGCTCTTTAGTCATGCTCATCTCTTGTTTGGCCTAAAATTGGTCCTAAACGATAGCAAGGTTCTATTATATCTTTTGTTAGTTAGTAATGCAGTTGATAAAAAATTCTATTATAACATAGATGAAAACAATCACATACAAACACGTCCACAAAACGTATAAGAGTTATACATATATTTTTATTAGACATACACTTCTAGTTTATATGTACAGTATTTAACATCAACTTTTGAAACAAATTATATACAGAGTTTAACTTACTTGTACAATGTTACCAAATTTATTTGCCTTATCTGACTTTTGTGAAATCACAAAATTACGTCCTGTTTGACCTGACATCGCAGTTGCAAATTGCGATGATAACATTTGTTGACGTTTTCTTTTTTCTTCTTCTTTCTTACGCTTTTCAGCTTCTAATTTCGCTTTACGCTCTTCCTAAAATCTTAATTTACATTGAACAAAAATTTTTAATAATTTATACTGATTTACTGATACGCTTATTTATGTTAAATTTTTATTCAACCTCTTCTTGCTTCCTTCTTTCTTCTTCCTGGCGAAGTTTTTCTTGAAATTGACGTTCTTCTTCTTCACGTTCAACTTTTCTTCGCTCTTTTTTTTCTTTCAATTTTCTTAACTCTTCTTCTTCTCGCTCACGTTCAACGCGTCGTTTCTCTTCATATTTTTGCAATTTTACTGCTTCTTCTCCTTCTTGACGCCTTTTTGCTTCCTAAATTTGTCAAAAATCATATGCATCTTTTTAATCAATTTTAATTATTGCTGATACATAACAAATTAAGATACATTTTTTGAATTGCTTTAAAATGATTATTTGATAATAATTTTTTAATATTTTAGAATCTTTTAGAGCTTTTAGACTAAGACTTTAGCTGAATTGCATGTTTTTTAGATTGATATTATTCGAGTAATATCAGTTTTAAAATTATAAGAAGTATTATTTATGCCTATGATTAGCCAGAGTTTACCATCATTGCTTTTTCAGCCTCTGTCATATCCTTGTCGTCTTTTTCATTAACAGCTTGTGATGGTCGTCTTGATGAAAGTCGCCTGAAAGTTTATATTTAGAAAGCTAGCATAAAAAGATTATGTCTTATATTCCTTTACGATAATTACTGACATTTCTTAAGGATTAAATTCATCTAATGATATCATTCATCTAACTACAAAATAGGATGCTGTTTAACATAGCAATGATTATCAGCCAAATATAATTGCATATTATCATCAAATAATCATTATTATAACTATGTTTGCAAGAAACTTCTATACAATTTTTTAAAATTGAATATGAATACTACGTGGATATTTGTTTTTCCTCATGTTCATTATCAATTACACTGCTTTTGCTTTCTTTGACCATTTCAACGGATGGCGCCACTTTTGTGTTTTCTTCAGTTTTTGCTTCTTCTTCTTCTTGTACTTCTTCTTCTTCGTCTTCATCTTCCTCCTCAGAGCTGAAACATGTGTGAGATTGAAAATTATGCATTTTCTTTGGTATACATGAATTTTTCATCAATACTTGATTGTCTCACAAAAAAATTAAACTATTATTCAAGTATATACCGCTGTGGTTGCCGCCATTTTGGTACCAGAGGTGCTTTAGGGGCTAACTGTGTTTGAGCATCATTTGTTTTGCTTTTTTGTAGCCAGACACGATCGACACGTTTTAATACAACACCAAACGGATTGCTATGTGACTGCTGCTGCAAGCCGTTCCCCACAACTACACTATCTCTAGCATTTGGTAAAGAACTGGCTTTTGTTCGTAAAGTTATAACTGGTAAAGGATTTAGCGTAACGTGACGTAGATGTGTTACTGAAGGAGGGGAAATTGGCGCGTTAACAGTAACATTAATTGGTGCTGGCGTACGAGCACGAATGAAACGCGGTGCTGGTGGGATTATAGATTGATTGCCAAGACGCAGTTTTGGTGGATTTCTTATAATAAGAGCAGCTTGTCCTCGTTCATCATACACATTCCAAATTGGAATGATGGCCTGGGGCTTAGGAATACTTTGAGTACGTCGATATTCATTAATTAACTCTTGTTCAAGAATATCATTATGCTTTTTTACATCAATTTCTTGACAATTACTTTGACATTTTTCTTGTGTAGATGCAGTACACACTTTTAATGTTTCTAAATTTTCTTCTACCTTTGATTGCGATATCATATTCTCTGACTTTTTTACTTCCGATAACATTTGATGCTTTGGATCAGTGGAAGATTTACAATTTCTCATTTTTTTATCTGATAATTTTACAGACTTATCATTATTTCTTCGAACAACTGAATTTTGAGATTCCATCTTTTTCCCATTTCGATTAAAATTGATACGTCTTAAATGTTCTTTTGCTCGTTTTATATCTGAATCCTCTTTACAATCCAATTTCTTCAGTACATCATTTTCATTTATACTAGTTGAACGTAATATTGTTTGATAATGTTTTGGTACCACCGTTGTATAGTTTTGCAACGCTTTATGAGCTTTTTTCAGAATGAAAGTTTCTTTATTTGATTCCTCAGCTGCTAATTTTTTACATCTGTCAGCTTTTGCCATCGATTTAATTACTATCTTTCGCACTAATTTTATTGTTTGTGATCTCAGTGGTAATGATGATGTTACTTCTATGAAAAATAGTTTTGGTAATCGTGATAAAACTTGCGATGTACTTACTGTGTACAAATGCTGTTGCTTAGAATCTGTAGCAACTTTTTGTTTTGAATGAGAGCTTCCATTGCTTTTTTTTGCCCCCGTCAATGCTTCAATTGTACTTTCTATTGCTTTCATTTTCTTTGCCGATTTTTTTTTAGATGCATCCAATATGAGGTCTGTTTCGGCTTTCATCTCTTCTTGAACATATCCATTGTTGTTTATTTTAGTTTTCTTTGTTCCTTCATCTTCGTTAGATTCTAATGATTCTAACTTTGTAAAATTTCTTGACAATATATTTTCCAACTCTGGAAATGGTATCGCTAATCTTCGACTATACATTGGCAATTTTCCTGTTGCTCTGATTAATCTAACATTCAACGATTCTTCATTTTCTTGACACTCTGATTTCATTTTCTCATCTTTTTTAGTTGAAGATTTTTTGACGAAACAAGCAACACTCTTTGTAGCACCTGTATGTCGTGCTAATGGCAAGAAAACTGTTACTTCTTCAGCTATTTGCGAGTAATTTACAAAACAAAAGCGCACATTTACTATCTCACTAAGTTTATTAGCCTCTCGTCCGTTAACTCTCAAAGAAATCATTTTTTGACATGGTTTTGTTTCTTCTCTATGTGCTTGTATTTTTGCAAAATCTCCATATTGATGTGATTTTTGACTTTCAGCTGAAACTAGAGTAGTACCTGTTTTATCCGAATTTTCCTTCTTCGCATTTTCTGCCTGCTTGACAGTTTTTTTGGAATGTTTTTGAATACTGCGACTTTTACTACGATGAGATACTTTGTTTTGGTGAAGTTGTATTTTTTTTGTATACGCATACTGCCAGCACCTCTGTGGTTTTTCAATAATCGCTTTTAAATGTACGTTTTCACGTGCATTTTTCTCAAATACATCAATTTCAACAGTTTCTGTACAAAGTGCTTCAAAATTATTTGCGGGCAATGAGCTTTTACTCCCAAATTCTTGGGAATTCTGATTTTCTAATTTTGGACTGCATCGTAAATCATTTTCTGAATCAGCATCCATAGAAAACCCAGAATCAGATGTGCAGTCTTGCTGGGAATCTTCTAAGTTCTCGAGACTGTCATTAATATTTTTAGATCCTTTATATTCAAGAGCACTTGATGTGCATTGTTCCTCTTCTACTTTTAACTTCCAATCTTGTTTTTGAGTCAACTTTTGCAAATATTTTAATTCATCTTCGGGTTTCAAACCTCTGGATCTGAGTAATTCATCAACGATATGATGAGCTTGTAGAAGACGCTTCATAAATTCATGTTCTGATGATTTACCTATTTTAGACTTACGAAAATTATTTGTATCAAATTCTTTAGAAAGTTTTCTTGGAATTGATACCATTGGTATTTCATAAGACAAAGTATAAGCTTGACTTATAACACCTTCTTGTATTGGCAAAATGTTATGTTCATCTGATATTAATACATTTTGGTGAAAACGATCATTGCCTTGTTCTAAATCAACTGGACTGATTGGAAATGTAGTACCTATGATTCCTTTTGTTGAGTTACCATAATTCATAGAGTCTACTAAATCAGTCTGAGCTGAGTTTTTAAATATTCCAAAAGTAGTTTGATGAGGTAGTGATACTTGTTTCCAGTTATTTTCAGCATGTGATCGTTTATAATTATTGTAAGTAGTTCGACGAGTCATATTTTGTTCTGATTTATCCAAAATGTTTTCCTTCTGAAACGCCATATTCTCATGCACTGTTGACCTGTTCTCCTTGTGTATATGAGAAGAATAATTACTTTTTCTGGTTATTCTAGAATTTATTTGCCCATTTTCGCAGGTTGCAGTGGTGTCATTCGTCATTTTCGACACTTTTTCTGGTTTCGGTGTAGCAGCTGAGTTGATCGTTGATCCAGTAGTTGAAAATTTATGATTGAGAGAGTTAGCTCTTCTTGAAATCGTACTCATGTTTTCATCAGTATAATTACTATAAGTGTTACTTCCTTGCGCGGAACCGTCAAAAATAGATGTATTAGTTGGTACATCAGTTTGACGTTGAATATTAGGTGCAACAGAATCATATGATGACAGTAGTTTCTTTTTCAGTAAATAATGAGGATTTGATTCAATAGAAGTTGTATGAGTTGATATTTGATATGCAGTAGGTATTGAAGTATTAATAGCATATTTCTGTTGATCCTGATTGTTAAACTGAGCAGAATTACGATGGCTTTTACTACGTACATCAAAACTATTTATCTTTCCCAAAAAGTTCTCTCCATGATAGTTTGAATCAGTACAAGATGAACGAGTCGTTGAAGAAAATTGTAGAGGAGAATTTGTGAAATAAGAATTTGTTGGAGCTGATCGTACCATTATTACTTTGTTTGACTGATTTACATATCCAATATCATTTATTCTAAGCAAAAGATAAAAGAGAAGTAAAAGTAAAAGTAAAAGTAGAAACAAAAGTAGAAGTAGAGATAGCAGATTCAGACATGGATTAGAATTTTTTTTTTTTCAATATACAAGCCTTTTCTAAAATGATAAAAATAGATTCAGTCAAATTCACTTACTATTGCTCTTCTTCGTCGGACATCTTTTTCTTCGCTACTGATAATAATTAGCAATAGCGTGAAGCAAACTGAAACTACGAGCTAATGGTGTTGATTAATGAAATGAATTAATTAAATTTATTTAGAAAAATGAAAGATGAAACAATATTGATAATGTGCAATGAGACTGATACTTTCAAGTTAGTATCAACTTACTTAAGTAAGAAAGTATTACATTTTTAATACTCACTACTCACTGTTTATTATTCATTTTAGGCAAAAATATTGACAGATTTGAATAATAAATGCTTGGATAAGATACGATATTAAGGATAATCTGAAATTAATAAGTAATTGAACTCAATAAGAAGTTGAATTATAGAATAAAGAAAAAGTAAATCTGAAAATTTTGGTCACTGATGGATGAAGAGGAATTAGTAGATATCTTCTTATTAAGGAAGAAAAAGTTAAGGTATTGATTACAGGAAAATTATGTTTCAAATTAATTAGTACACTTAACCTTGGAAATTAGACTACTTCAGAGTTTAAGTTTGTTAATTTTAAGATTCCGTCAAATTAAATTGGTTTGAATGTGGTCGAGGAGTATTTTTTGCAAATCTTAAAATACTTGGAAAAGGAATGTATAGTGCAGCAGCAGTCACTGATCATCCAAAAATAACTATGTTTCTGAAATTGAAAGCTATTCAATTCGTTACGAATAACATGAATGGAAAAAAGTAACATGCTATTCACATCATATAAAACAGAATTCTATTAAAATTTGAGGTTAGTAAAAGAAATATGAGATTTAATACGCATATAGTATTAGTGAATTTTGGAAATTGCATAAAAATTAATCTTTTATTACTTTTATTATCCATAGGAAAGCATGTACTTTTAAATAATTTAATATAATTACAAAGAAAAAATAAGAAAGAAGGTTTGAAATACGTATCATGCAAGAAACTACAAAAACAATATGTTTCTATCAGATGCATCATTAGGTAACATCATCAGGTAACTTCGATAAAGATTTTAATGATCTCATTTCAAAGATCAAATTCTAAAAATAATATTTTATCTGTTCTTAATCCCTATTGAAATTGTATCACACATGCCAATAGCAAGAACTTTTCTGTAACGATAAATCCAGTATCAAAACCAATTTTTTCATTATATCATTTCGTAGTTCTAATTAAAATTGGATTCTGATATAATTCTGGTATAACCATCTTAAACATGAATAATATTAGAATTAGAAAATATACCTGAAGGAAAAAAAGTTGAAGAACGTTGATGATGAACTTACAGACTGTTAACTTTTAAATCTCACAATATTGAAATCTTGAAGATTTGAAAACTAGACTTTATGTATAGATCTATCTATACATTTCCACCTCTTTTTACAAGGATTTACAAATAGAATATGAGAGGATAGCGAAAAACGTGCCTGAATGGTAAGCTAGTTTAGATTACTTTTAAGTAAAAGGATGCTAAAGCAACCAAATAGTTTTTATCGTCTTAGAAAGTTTTCTTGAAAAATAAATAAGTAATTCATTTTTTTTCAAAACAAATTGTTAGACTTGCTGATACTATTGATAATGCTTGCAAAATACTATCTTTTTACATGCAAAATGAATATAATGCGAGGAGTGATAATAGATTACATATTTATAATACAAAATACAATTTCAAATAGGGAAGATTGGAAGGCAAGTAAGCACTGTCAGTTGGAGAAAAAACAGACTTGAAGCTTTCTATTAATAATTAAAATTTTTTTATTTTTGTTCAGTTTCACACCTAAAACTTTTTAGCTATTGCTTTTCACTTCATACAACGAATGACTCAGTGAGCCAATTAAATAATCAAAGTGATTTACAATTAGAAATTTGTACTGCTCTAAATGATTCATTTTTAACCTTACATTATTCTTTCTCAATTAAAATTTTAAACAAATTTATTGTGGATTTTTTGCCTTAATTTAACTTTTTTCATATTAAATTTCATTAGCTATCATTCATATATTATGAATTAATCCAAAAGTTTGTTTGAACAGAAAACAATACGAAAATGATTGTGTTGTGCAGTCCATCAAAGGTGATGAACTATATGCTGAATTAAAAGCTTTATTATATATATTACATCAGTCAATTTAAATGTGATAATTACCTTGATTTATGGAGTACGTCTTATCCTTGCATAGATTTTTACGTATTTATCTTGTTAGCATTATTTCGCATTTTACTTTATTCTAACAGACAAATTGCTGATGTCATGGTTCTACCTCCACGAATTAATTTAATTCTCTGTAATATTTATTATTCTCAATAATTTATACGTTACGAAACTGTGAAATAAAAAAACACTATTACCTTTAAATCCTGTTTAGTATTATATTATTTATTATATATAAGACAAATTAATTTAGGAAGACTGTTTGATGACTCAATTTATTGCATATATAAAAATAAATTTTTAAAAACAAATTGTAAAAATTTGTTTATATATTTTAGATTATAAAATATCGCATGCTAAGAAAGTAATAAATGCTGAAAGAAAAATATAACTCAAAATGAACATTGTGAATTTAACAAAAAAAGTTGTCTACTGAAAACTAGCTTAGGTGTCATCATTTTGTTAATTTCATTTCTTTTACAAATAGATATTTGAAAATCTTTTTGCTACATACAATCAACCCTCTTCTGAAAAAACTTTGTTTGTCATCTGCTTGTCTGATTAAAAAGTTGTGATGCTTGGCGGTATGAAAGTATGTGTGTATGTGTGTGTATGCGTGTATATGCGTGTGTGTATGTGTGTGTGTGCGTGTGTGTGTCTACTTTGTACGTGCAATTTGTTTAACGATGTAGAAATTTATTAGCTAAAATGTTTAAACGCAATTAAAAATTTTTGTTGTTATGAAAATAAATTGAAAACATAAGATAATGAGTAATATATTCTTGAAAACATGAACAACTGAATAGATCAAAGTGTTTTGTTGAAAGTATTCGATCAGTGCTTTCTTAAAATTCACATACTTATTTTCATGTTTTAATTTCAAAAAACAAAAAAAACAAAAAAAGGTTGCCAGATGTATCATTTTGGTATGATTTTAAGAAATTTGAAAACTTGTGTGCAATATTTGATAGTAATAAAAGATTGAAGTCATTGGATAAATTAAGCAAAGTTCTATCAAAAAAAGTATATATTTAAAATTTTATAATTTATGGAATAATAGCATTTTAGCGATTACTGCACAGAAAAAATAACAGTTGCAAAATGAAAGAAATGAAAATTTTAAATAACACAATTTGTGATGAACACATTCGATGCATACATTTTTCAGAATGCTTTTAAATTTTAGTGATATTTGCTAAAATGTAAAAATTAATAGCTGTGGAACAACTGCCAGTGTTCCTTAAATCAGAATACATTTACCTTATTTTTACCAAAAAAAAACAAAAAATGAAAAGCGAACAAATATAAAAGATTTTAGAAATAAACGTACTGCTAGATATCAAAAAAGTGAAATAAAAATGTCTACTAATTTTCTAATATAAAAACTGATTACAGAAGTAAATCAATAAAATTTTGATCAAATGCTGAAATTGCCAGTATATTAATTAAATAAAGATACATCTTTAGTTATGCGAATCATAAAAAGCAGTTTGAGAAATTACATTCAAATTTTGATTAATTTATTCAACACAACATAAAGACATGCCAAAAACATGGAAAATGAAACTTAATTTTTTAAATAAACCATTTTATCATCAATGAAGTCTTTATTTTGAAACTTATCTGATTCAAAGTTAATATTATGCAGAATGTCTCAAACGATTCAGGCATGTATAAATGTGAAATAAAGCTGAGGCCTGTACTTTACGCGGACAGTCAAAGTAATCGAAAATTATACTTTAATTATATTGAAGCATTTATTAGTATCGTACTTCGTTGAATATTCTCAAAAAATGTTCATTTTAGTACAAATAAAAGTAATGGAATTTAAAGAATGATTTCTTTGAAAAGAATAAATTTCACTGAATTTTCAGAACTTATTTCACACAATGTTTTTACATTCTTCAAGAAAGAGAAGTAAATATTTGTTAAAAACCAATTTAACTGCTGGTATTATAGTGTTTTTGTCATAATTTAATTTCTAGCATTTAACAAAGCAGTTTCCAAATGTTTGAATTCCCTTATTTATATCAAATATAAATATTTACTAATGAATTTAACATGCATAAAAATAATCAGTGTTATTTTTATCATAATTATTGTTACAATTATTATTATTACTATTAAAGTAAGAGTTTTTATATGTTCTATAATAATCATAATTATAATTGTTATGATTATTATTACTATAAAAAATAAAATCTGAAACTATTAATTTCCAGCAAGAATTATGTTCACGTAGATAAAACAAAAAGTACCAAATGCATGCAAAAAAATTTATTCTAAAAATTCAAATTAAAAGTTTGAAAATCAGTAATAAGAGAAGAAGAATTTCAAGTTCATCTACTTCTGCTTATATTTTGTTAATTTTTATTTGCAGTTTTATTCTGTCATTTTCATTTTTCCTTCTACCTATCTGTTGAATATCTCAAATGCTAAGGCAGTTGGTGCAACTTATGTTGAATACAAGCTTACTTAGACTTCGTCTCAACTCAAAGCAATCTATATTATTCAATAAAGGTATAAAAACAAAAAGACAAAACACACACGAACATAACATACACAAACTCAAATGTTTCGCACTTTTCCATCTTTTCTTACAACTAACAAATTCTGAAATTACTCACACATCAAAAATAATCTTTTCTTTCTTTTAGCTATCATTTACATCGACGATTGTGCTAGAATTTTTAACCTTTTACTGCTACTTTTTCATAACTTACTTCAGTTTTTATATGCAAGGACAAAAAATAATTATCCTTAAATCGTGTTTGTTTTGTGAATAATATATAGATTGCTAAAATATATATATATATACAGAATAAATTAATTATCCTTATTATCAAACATCTTTATATCTCAGTTATTTTTTGTCAATTCTTTTTATTCTTTATTTTTTACTTTAAATTTCATGTAAAATAAATCAAAGCAGCTGCAATTTTATCAATAAATGTGCTCATCTTAATTGAAAAATTTGCTTTAATTTTTCTTTTAATTAAAAAAAAAATTATTGCTAACAATCAATAAATTTCAGTTAAAATATGTCAAATTTTCCAGTAATCAGGGCTCGATCTTCAGCTACATTACCACGGTCACATTCTTTTGAAAGGGGTGATGTGGCAACTTTAACCAGGTGATGCTATATTTTTGATTGAATAAATTATTTGCTAAAATAGAACATTTCATATTATTAGAATTTAATGCAAATAATTTTCAGAGTGGCATCTGTACCAAATTTAGATAATATTCATGTTAGTGGTCGATATCGTCCATCAACTTTATTTCGTTATAGAAGAAATTACGATTTGGTTTCATATTACTACATTTTACTTTACTGATACTAATTTTTTCATTTTCAAACTGAATATCTTGGAAGTTAAAATAAATAATTTTATTTATATTTCAACTAGAAAACAAAAAAACAAAATAGTCGCCTTTCTCAAAATTATAGTTAGAAGATTATTTCCACGATCGTAGTGTTTTTGACACACCACTATATTGGCACGACTACAGATTTGCTGCTCGTCGTTTCATCAACACTGATCCATTGCCAAGAAGTCTTGGCTTTGATTATCCTGCATTTTGGTGAGTTTAATTTTTATTTATTTATTTATTCACTTGACTGTTCTAGAATATTCTTATATTCATACCTTTAAATTAGCCATAATCTTCCTAAAATTAAATGTATTTTTATACAATTTATTTTTTCGAGGTCGCGCTACAAATGGTATACAGATTGGTTAAATCCAGTATACTGGCGTCGTCATCGTGATCCAAATTATGATAGACCACTGTGGAACGATTGGAAACCGTGGCATTTGGAAAGAAATAACATAAAGCGTGCAATACGTATGTATAAGGAAGGTAAATACTTTATAATATTCAGCCTACAGATATATCTGGAAAGAACTGAAATATTTGAAAAATTAGGACTATTTCCTGATCTTATTCAATAAAATCAACAATTGCAAAACAGGTTTGCTTGATTTTCAAACTCTGGATCGACATTGGATTGAACCTTTGGCACTTTCTAGGAAAGAAAAGGACTGGAAAGATGTGTATTTGCCTGCTGGTA